GTAGTAAGGCCAGGAGCCCCTAGTAGCGTCCTTGGCCAACACCCTCATCAGGATCTCATCAACAAAAAATAATAGATCAGGTAGGAACATGTCAGAGAGTGGAAAAAACAATCCAAACTGCAAAATGACTCTACAAAAGACTCTACAAAATGCAAAGTAAGCGCAAACAACAATCATTTTGTAGAAAACGATCCACCTGCCACCTCAGTCGGAGCGTCCGGATTGGTCTGCGGGGCCTCCAGCAATTACAGTTTGAAAGTCACCCCCAACTGAACAAGGCCAATCTTCCACCAATAATAACACCCAAAAACATCCAATAACAATACTCATCCATACTCATCCAAGAATATAGCGAACCTAAACTGACAAGGAGATTCAAGGAATGCTTGCCTCAACGACTGGCTCCATGGGATCTGTCTTCTGCTCTGCGTCATCTGCTCTTTCCGCTTCTGCCAGAAAAAATACGGAAAGGTCAGAGAAAAGGAAGAACTCTACAAAATGCCAAACATTGGAAAGCAAGCAGGTAAGTCAAATCAGTTATGTCAATTGAGAGTTCAATTGAGGTAGAGAAACTATCATGTTACTTTTGTGCCTGCCACAGTGGCTTGCTGTGGCACCTCTGTGCTTGCATCACCATGGGGTACAAGCATCTTCTCCTGGTCACCTTCCGCAAATAAAAAGTTAGAGATAAAAACTCTACAACATGATCAAAATGCAAAGCGGTGGAAATCAAAGGTAAACTACCTGCTGACAAAAGCAAATGCACAAAGGAAATCAACGGATTACAAAGGATATCAATACGAAAGCATACTAGAGAAACCAAAGACTCACCAAGAAAACATTGACCAAATTGGATCAAATCATTTCAAGTTAGCTAGACCAGGACCAAACAATCATCTGTAGACCGGCCTATTTCTATCGATGCTGAGCCTGCTCCAACAGGTTGCTCTGGACCCTGTGCGTTTGCATCAGGAAGGGCTGGGCAGGCTGTTCCCACACCTTCGGCAACAGAATTAAAAAAAGCAAAGGAACATGTCAGAGAGTGGAAAACACTACAAACTGCAAGAGCCAGCGATTAGTGTTGATCGTCCTTGATCCATTTTGTAGATCTCTGTGATCTATTTCAATCCATTTTGTAGAGGCAGCGCGGTAGAGCAATGCAAAGTGCACACTTGATGTAGTATATTTATATATATATATATATTTACATGCAGTATATATACATGACGTTGTAGCGCCGTCTGCACCTGGCTGAAGCTGCGACGAGTTCCCTGCACTCTGCTGCTCCGCTAGGTGCTCTTCCCAAGAAAGAGGCTTTGCCTTTGCAATTGAAACGATTGGGAATCATGCAATGGTGAGTTAGTGAGGCACGGCAAAACTGAAAGCTAAGCAATTGCAGGCAAATGCAACTTCATACAGAGACAATCACACATAAGAACACAAAATCAAGGACGTCCAGTAGCTTGCCCTACCAAGAAAGATGATAAACAATGATAAACATGGATAAGCACCATACAAAATGAAACAAATCAGAACTGATGCCACTACAAAATGCACTGCTGATTGCTGTCTGACTTCGGTAGATTTCTCGCGTTTTCGCACCCGCTGGCGACCAACGCAACGATACACCACGTTGTAAAAGGCCGCGGCACTGTACTGATTTGTAACGGCCATCTGAAGCCAAACAAATGAAACGACATTCTATTATGTCAACTCTTGGAAGCGTCAGGCCCTAGCCCGCACGCGTGCCACGCGATCTTTTTTGTTAGAACGCCGGTCAATCACACACTGGTCAAGCCAGCACCCAAGCAACGCTTTACAGAATGCTACTGGAAACACCGCGCTGCTGGCAAGGTCTTTGCCACCTTGCCATGCTCTCTTTCCCGAGGAAGAGGTGGACTTTGTGTAGTAGACCTTGTTCTTTTCAAAAAATATATATCAAAATAGGTCAAAATAGCTTCCATTAAATGCAACTGCTTGCGCCAAGTCGCCTTCTTGTTTGCCCGTCGATTTTGCCGCCTATGGAATCGCGCCTGTCAGTTTAGCTATGCATATCAAAATGAAAACTGCCAAACATCTACAAAATGATGAGACCTCCCAGGGAATGGTATCATTTTGTAGGTTTTCTTTTTCCTTGTCTACTACTTGAGGCTGTTTGTCTACACAAAAAAAATGAAACATAGAAGTATTCACCAGCTGGAATTGCAGGCCTTGAAACGCAAGCGGTCCTTCTTAGTCAGAGTCCGCTTCAGGGATTGAATTGTCCTGTGCCAAGGATTGATGACACATCAATCAAAGCAAATGTATGCAAATTTAAAGTAAATAGTACTCCTAAATACTCCTAACATCTCCTTTAACATCCTTTAACTACATACAGTATATACTCCTACAGCATCACGTAGTACCCGGCCTCATATCACTCTTCAGGTGCGTGCACTTTGCCATATCATGCCCAAAGAAGGCTAACCAGGTGGTAGTAACCAGCCTGATGGGTCTTGCCATGAGAATCACAAGAGACACATGACCACAAGCGTCCATATGTGTGCACATTGCTGGGACAGCCAATATCAAACAATGTGAATCGATGCAACAACGCAATAGCCCGACAAGCTGCAAACCCATAAGTTTGGAAAGCTGAACCATATCCGGCTGCTTGTAGGCCCAGCTTCCACTCGGCTGCTCTATCACAACATGAACCAGGCTGTGCACGCGCCACATCACTTCCATGAAAGAGGCCTCAAAGCTACAAAATGAATCAAAAATGATGTTTTTCATGCAATCCATCATTTTGTAGTGATCTTCTTGGTATACATTGAGTGTTGATCGTCCTTGATCCATTTTGTAGAACTCTGTGATCTATTTCAATCCATTTTGTAGACGCAACTATTAGGAACTCAAACGTATTCTAGTGCAACCACATGCAACCGTGGTTTTGCATGGTCTTGTATGGTTTTGTTCAGTCAAGCCACAAAATTCTGCCATATTCGGCGTGCTAACCTCACCTTGTAGTTTGACAAGTCACCCAATACATTCTGCATGGTCCGCTTATGTACGCTCTGACAGGCTGGGCCATAGAGTGAACAGGGCGGGGCCGCCACAATCAGCGCGCCCCGAGTCAGCCTGGGATGGAAATGGAAGATTGAAGATTGAAGGGTGCACGATATCAAATAGCAGCAATGGCCTCCAACCTAATAGCAATGGCCATCAATGGCCTCCAACCTAATAGCAATGGCCTCCAACCTAATAGCAAGGGCCTCCAACCTAATAGCAATGGCCTGCAACCTAATAGCAAGGGCCTCCAGCCAAACTTCAACCCATGCCACGGCTCTCTCTCTCTCTCTCTTGTAAAATTCAAAGGGTGCACGATATCAAATCCAAACCAAGCGCCCCAAAACAATCCAAAACATTATAAAGTGTTAACTTGTCAGGAGAGATTCTTGCATCCAAGCCTGACCAACTCTTTGAAACCTTGCTCGGAGCAAATGTCATGGAGAGGATTTAGCTTCACGTCGAATCCTGCGGCATTGAACCCTGCTGATCTCCAAACTCTTGCAACCCGCCCAGAAGCACCAAAGAGATCCAGGACCTGATACAAAGGGTTGGATTCCTGAAGCAGCGACACTGCCCAGGTCGTCAACTCTGGAATCAAGGTCTCAGCTGGATACCACCTCCGCCGGAGAGCGCGCGCGTGTCTCTACAAAATGACACAGTATCTACAAAATGACCTACAACTATCTACAAAATGACGTCCAAAATCTTTAAAAGCAATCACAAGCAATCTCCAACCTGTCTTCCGGTGTGCAACATGTGGTGTCGTCTTTCAACGATGGTATTGCACCACCCGAGCACAAGCACCACAGCAAGGCACACACGATTGCACGGACAGCCATGGTGACGGGCAAACTCGAGCCGGAAGTGCTGCCTATGAAACCAAACTGTTGTTTTCTGTTGCCTGCGTAATCCTGCCTTAAATCTGCCAAGCTACGCAGACCTTCTTGTGCTTGGAGATGGTGTTTGTCCATGTCCACCTTCCTTCTTTCCTGACAAAGTGCATTTGAATTCATTGCCATCCAATTGAATCCATGGCCATCCATGTGCATACCAAGCTGAAACAAGTTTGGAACCAATGTTTCAAACCAAGATGCTCATCCCAGAACACATGGTGATGACTCTTTCGAGTATGTGATGCCCCAACGCCGACCATTTTGCAGCGTGAGACTCAGATGACCCCCAAGAATACCAAAGAGACATAAAGAGACTGCATCTGAAGCGGACAATGACAGTTGATCATTGATATTCATTGATTTTCAACATTGGAGGTAGATCAAACAAAATAATGATTCAAGGCACTCCAGCATCGCCTTTTGTCATCCCACCATGGCGGCGGAACCTCCTCCGTACAGAAGGCCACGCCGCAGAAGGTTGGACACCCTTTAAATGGACACGTCATTGGGCCAAAATGGCTGCAAGTAGACAGCAGAAGGACGGTCCCGATCCATCCCGATCCAGTCTCTTCAGGGATCCCCGTTGAAATTTCCTCTACAAAATGATGGTCCTGGATTCCACTATAGGGCTTTCATTTTGTATCATTTTGCAATAAATTCATGTTGGCCATCTTCAAAATGAGGATTCAGATTGCTTACAGAATGAATTGTTGCACTACCACATGGCCATTCTATAGTAAACATCATGTTACTACAAAATGATGGGACCCACCCCCCCTTTTTTCACTACAAAATGCTCTGCTTGACGTAGGCGTCAAACACGCCTGTCTACAAAATGCTAGGCCGTAACCTCATTTTATAGATGGCCAAAATAAATTCCTTACAAAATGACAGCCCTATAGTGGCCTCAAGGCCCATCATTTTGTAGAGGAAATTTCAACGGGGATACTCATTGAAGTTGAAAACTAGAAGATGAACCCCACAAGTTGAACCCTAGATGCTCAGAGATGGTCATACAAGTTGAACCCACCCCACCCTTCCCAACTGCCCAGCGTCAATCTCTGAGTCGCAGCAGCCTCGTCAAGGCATCGTTTTCGCGGCCAAAACAAATCCGTTGGGCATTTGCGAAAACGACCAACGGAGCCAGCCCAAAAATATGGCTCTCTCCCCCCCAAGCGCCCCTGTGCTCTCTCTCTCTCTCTCTCCCTCCCTCCCTCCCTCCCTCCCTCGCGCGCCTAGGGCCGCACCCGCAGGATTGGGGCAGCACAGGCCCTTCAAGTTCAGTTCAGCGCAAGCGGGGTTGTTTTCACACAGCCTGGCTTCTTCACAGCACGGTCAGGACGTGGGAAGCATAAATCGGGCCAGGTCGAGTTGGATTAGACTTTATGTGCTGTATTGTGTTGTCTTCTTCTACCCGTCCTAACTTACAGTAGAATGATGGAGGATATCAAACTTCAACAGGACATAGACTTTTTCTTGGAGGAGTGCCCCGATGGTCTGATTATACACCAGGCCAGTGAAAGAGAGCATGAGTGGGTGACATTGACCTGGGCAAATGTTCGTTGAAAACCCGGGAAGCTTAGCCGAATAGCTACTTATGCATGTTAGCTTAGCCGCTGGCGGGTTTGGGAAGCAACCAAACACCGTGCTTCGCACCCAGCAGGGGGGTTGCTCGGTTGCGTAGATTGTTGGCATGCCTTAGACCCTGAAGTCCCAAATTGGCCGTGTTGTTTGTGCTGGCCCCCTCGAATTGGTCACCAGTAGGAACCTTCTGTTCAACGAAAGCATATGTCTGCAGCGTCAGTGTCAAATTGCCTGAGGGTATGCCCGGTCTTGCACGGCTCGTGAAAACACAACACAAATCAACACAGGCTAGGAAAATTCATTGCTATCCTCTGATTCTGATTGATAATTGAATAATTGCAAACATTGCGAATGATATACGCATACATATATACTGTATGACTCTATATGACTGTATGTATACACCGTTTAACGGGTAGGGTATATACACGCATAGAGATCATGTATGTCTATAGTATATAGCTTTCTTTCTTTCTGTTCGCGCAAGGTGTTCGGGAACTCAGCGCCTAGCTATGTGAATTCTTAATTAATGACGGATGGAAGTCTGGCCCTTCCTTCTGTACATTTCCCACCTCCCTGACGTGCATGGCTCTTAGCCAGTCTGCACTTTCAGGAGGTGGGCCAGACTTCATGTTTGCCCCTTCCAACCATTTACCAAACAATCGGGCAAGAAAACAGCACATGTCCGGAGGGTACTCTTTTAATGAGCTGGTAGCCCATTCCTTCCCACACAGACCGATCGAGGTTGAAGTTGGGCAAACAGTGGTCCTACTCTGCTTTTCAAGCGCCTCCGTCGTCTCGTGCGACAGTCCTGCAATGAAAAGGGTGGTAGGTTTGGGGCTTTTCGCTCCGAAGTGAGACTGTGAAAAAGGCCCGTCATCCTTAGCCAGTCAACCATCACCGTCTCCCAGATGCTCGGAGCTTGTCTGTGCTTGGTATGGAAGTCATGCGGATTGCGGGGATGCTCAAGGACCGCAAGTCCTCCCACAAGCGCCAATTCCAATATGGAATGCAGAGCGAAGCACATGAGTTCGTTTCCTACTGCTAACTGCTGCCCTTCTTTCAAGCTGACATGCACAACGCCCCATGGTTCCTTTCTTGACCTTAAAGGACGAGGAGGGTGCTTACATCCCTCGACTGGCTGGAACCTTGCAATTGTCCAGGTTTCGCACGGCGGCCCTGCATAAATTGCTGCTATTATTCCTAATCGGATAAGCCTCAAGATTGCTGTCTGCTGATCGGCATCGGTTAAATTGCCATGGTCAGCAGAGACCATAACATCAAGAGAAATCACGAAAAGCATCGTCGCGCTTGGTATTGTGAGACTCTCCAATGCTTGCTGGAGGTCATGCATGCGTCTTCGGCCGCTGAAAAAATGCAGGACATACATTTCTGAAAAAGTGCTTGGCACTCGAGGGGTGGCCCGCATAACATGGATTTTCGCTCTGTCGTCTTCCCGTTCGAGAGACTCTAACGTCACATGATCCATGTTATTCTTTTGTCGCATGCGTGAAACTGCTTGGATGGTCTGCTCGGTAGCCTCACAAATTGTCTGCTGTTCTGGTTTGTTGAATTCAAGAGCCCATGTCCGAAGGACCTGCAAGATGTCATCAATTGGCATGGCCCGGTAAGCAACCCTCAGCAGCGTGTCAGCGAGCGCTGCAACGAAGCCCGACTCCTCCTCAGGAGGTGCAAAGTCTCGGAGCGCTTCTTGCAATTCACTACGGAAAAGCTCGGCATCTCGTTGGATCGGCTCTGGAGGTACCTGTTCGGTCCCTTGAGTCCGAGTCCATGGAAACTGAGGGTGTTTAGGGGCTGCTCCCGCCTGATCCTTGAGAAGTTCATGATTCTTCCAGAAATACGTGCAGCACGCCCGACTGTATCGGAGGTGGTTCTTCAGAGACCCCAACGTTGGGTATTGTTTCGCACAGCACCAACAAGTTGTCCCTGTTACGGCCTCCCCTTCCATCGTTTTGTAGGCGTGCACAATGTTAGCATGGAGAAACCAAGCATTTTTCTTCTCGAAGCCTTTATTGCATATCAGGCAAAGATGTTTCCATTCTTGAACCATGGTGCTTTGGTCACATAGAGAACATCGGATGAGTGCGCTTAGCACTCTGTGGTAGGCTCTGGTTACTTGCTGCTCTCGTAGGCGGTAGAGTCGCCACCTTTCTGCAGCTCTTCGAACTGTCGACTTCCATCGATTCGTTGAAAGTGCACAAATCGACCTGCAAGCTTGACTGAGTGTCATGTTGCGAAAACCTCTCTCCATCTGGAGGGCATCATATACCCATTCAATTGCATGTCGGTAGATCTCAGCAGTCGGCTGATCGAGATGCGTTACCGTCCAAACTGGATCGGGAGCATGCAGAAGCATGGTTGCATAGTGTCTGGCTCTAGCTGCATGGAGGAGATCAACTGGACTCGGACATTCAAAGGTACGGCATACTGTCTCATGCGACATTTTCCCCTCCCTTTGGGGTGCTCGAAGGCGCTGCAAGTTCCAGTACGAGACCTGAAAATGCTTCATGTCTGCTTTCGACATCGCTGGCCAGGCCCCTATTCCCCATGTGTACACTGCCATGACTAATGCTTGGAACAGCTGTGCTTTCACCTTGTCAACTATATTTCGTTGACGAAATATTGCTTTCGCAGACCTCCAATAGGCTTGCCTGGCTTTGGCAAATCTCATGGATATCTCTGCGGATAATGTGCCTTTAAATGTCAGAATTCCACCTAAATGCTTGTACTGCGGCACGAGTGGCAGACTGAGTCCCATCTTCTCAGTGAGAACAGGGAGTTCAGCTTGTGCATTCTTGAACAACTGTCTTCTTGTGTGCACAGAGCCTGGTCCTCGTAATAACACAAGCGCCGCCGTTTTGGTCGGGCCACAAGAAATTTCCATTCCGATGGAATGGAGTTCATCGACAAGCACTTGCATAACTCGGGGGAGAGTATGCCATATCATCCGTGGCTTTTCTACTGTAATCATAAGTGCTATATCGTCTGCCCATGTCACCTGCAGCAAGGGCATCTGCTCTTCGCCCACAAGCTGGCTGGGGCAAACAGTTCGATCGAATTTAGCCGCTAGGGTCACGAGTGAACTGTTCTCTAATGTTCTCTGGACTTTCTTCAGGACTTGTGACAGGAGCACGTTGAAGACAACATCAGCCCAACTATCACCCGGCCTAGTGCCTTGTTCCGTGCCTACTACTGCTTCACCGTCAACAGAAAACCAAGTGCCTTGTAAGCTCTCTTGGAGGACTTGCTGTCTTGGTACTGATTTAGTGAGCGCAGCATAGGCTGTTCTACCTTGTAGTGCCTCATGGAGTGCTGGCATTACTTCTGGACCAAGTCCTAGTCTTTTCACTATCTGCGCAATGTCCTGGTCGGACGCGTCAGCTCCTGTTGCGATCTCGCGCAACGCTTTGTAAAAGGCAGAAGCAATGTCAACGAAGAGAACAGCTGCACTCTTATTATTGCTTTTGCTCCATCTCAGGAAGGATCTTGTGAGTTGCGCCCCGAATTGTGCTTGCTGATGAGGTTTCCCTCCAAGCTGCATGGAATGTCCAGCTACTAAATATGGCTCGTTAATCCACTTACGCAAGCTTGCTCGGGTTATTTTCCCCATGACATTCATAAGCAGAATTCCTCGGTGATTCGCACACTCTGCCATTGATCCTTTCCCTTTATAGAGCGCAAAAAGGTGACCACCCTTCCATGTAAGGGGCTCTTCCACTCTTAGGGCTAGTTTCAAGGCCAGTGGGTAAAGAATTTTGGACGCTTTCCCTGGGATAGCCTTGAAGAGCTCTTCCGGGATACCATCTGGTCCCGTTGCTTTGCCCGCCGTGGCTGCTCGAATTGCACTTTCTACGACGAACATGGACGGGATGTCCTCAACATCATAGGTCATTGGTTTGCATCTGTATATTTGTCGCCGCAGGTGTTCCTGCACAAACTGTTCAACCCTGATGATTTGCCCCGCTTCTACAGAGGCGAAATGACTTGTCCAGCGTTGGTTCTGCGCTGCTCTGTCGAGAATTGGATGTCCTTCTGTGTCAAGCAGTTTTGGTAGCGGTTGTAAGACTGCTGCCTGCTTCTTAGCTGGCTTCAAAACTGGTCTTAATTTCCGATACACTTCGGCAGGCGAGCATTCACTCACTTCCTGGGCAATCTTAGAAAGAAAGTGGTTCCTATCCTGACGAAGGCATACTTTCAATCTAGTAGCGAGTTGCGAGGTTTGTGCAACAAGCTTGGCAAACTTCTGGTTGAAGGCAATTGTCCAACTGTGTGTTCCGTGATGTGCAGACTTGCGAGCCCAGGTGGAAAACACTAAGGACAGGATCTGATATCGCTCTATCAGTCGAAATTGCCGCAAGGCACGCTTGTTGGCTACCATCGATGAGTATACCTCTCGAGTATCAGGTTGCGTATACTCTGGCGTTTTGCGTTTAGGTGCTGGAAAATTCTTGCTCAGCTCCTGCTGGAAGTATAGCGTGAGCTGAACGGCATGATCACTTGCATTCGTGGCCCAATCTGGCTGCGGACATCGGTCAAGTATATCGAAGATCTTGGCTTTGTTGGATGGATCCATAATCGCCATGGTATCGATTCGGATTTTCTTCTTTGGTGATTGGTACCCTTGTTCCCAGTAGACGTCAACTACCGTGGCTATGTGGTCCCATCCTGCATGTCCTGCAGATAACTCAGGATCTGTCCAGGCTTCTATCC